TTCGCTTCGCGGCACCACATCACTGAGGTCCAATGTAAGGCGTCGTCGCCTCAGCCGCCTGTTCGAGTCAAGGCCAACGGGATGGGCCGACTCCCTCCAAGGCCTCCGATGGAAGCCATCGGGTACCCGAACCAGGCGCCGGTGACGGTTCGAGTTTTGGATTAGGGCGCCGGTCGACTAAGTGCTCTTCTTTGAGTCTACCGCGTCTTCGCGGTTTTTATTGCGTCTGACGAATTAAGCTACTAGCGACTCCCTAGCGGTCCTAGCTACCTACCTCTCTACTAGTGGCCTACCCCTCCGAGAGAGAGAGAGAGAGAGAGAAACTTCTGCCCCAGGCCTCCGCACCCTCAGCTCCCATGGTGAAGGCAAAGGCACCTCCAATTGGACCACCCCCACCGGTGAAAGCGAACCTTGGGCAGCACGAGGAAATTGGTTGAGCACGTGCGAGCCTTCAACTGTCACAGAAAGCTAACATGCCCTTGCAGCTGTTTTGAAAGTTCATGTTCAACTTCAGTTAGGGAGAACTTCTCAAAGAGACAAACAAAAGAACTTCTTTGCCCAGCGCTTCCGTGGGAGTTCTTCACTTCGGTCTCAGGCCACCCTTCGGTGGACCAGCCACTGGGCCAGCCGGGTGAGGGGTGAAGGGACCGTGCGTCCGGGGGGACTGGTCCCCAGGCGGCTGCCCACTGTTTACTCATCGGACCTGGAGTCTGGTTCGACAGATCTGCAGTCTCTGCCCTTCCAGGACTCTTCAATGCAGCCATTGATTGGATCTGCATCTATCCAGAAAGAAGAACACCATGTTCCACGCATGGCTCTTCCAAAACTCAGGCACTAGCTCCGCCTCCAAAGCAAGCTCCGCCTCCTCCGCCAAAACAAAGTCAGGCAGGAAAGATATCGAACAAGAAGGAGAGGAATGAAACGTTCCTGCCTTTTCGTGGGCCTCATGGCATGTCAACCACATGAAGTGGTGCATGAAACCCTTGGTGATCATGGTCATCCGAAACATAGGAAACATCCCAAGTGGCTATATAGAGGAAATACCATGATCAACCAGGACGGACGGCTGGCTGCTTTTTCCAATTGCGTGCCTGCCAGGATCCAATTGGACTGGGTGTGGCGGCTGACCAAAGTGATGATGAGAGCCACGGCTTCGATATGCTTTGATCTGGGTGAGTTTCGCAAAGAAGAGCTTCACAATTATACGTATATATATATATATACATATTTTTATGATACCATCTAAAATGAATTCCAAAGGACGGGGTTGTAACACGAGTTCGCAACCTGGCAATAAGCTGTCCAGAGGTTGGACTTAGGGGTCAAGGGCAACAGAAATGGATCGCAGATCCCTGTTTTGCTTGTTCCTCTTCTTGGAGTTGTTGAAACCCCTACGCGCAAGCTGGGGAACTTCCTTGTTTTTCAGGATTTGCCTATGGGTAGGAGAGGCACGGTACTAGGACTGCTAATGGAGAAGAAGTTTGTCACATGATGTTTGCCGTTGTTGCGGAGTGTTTCAATCCCCTGAAGAGCTAAACACCCATTACCGACCTTTGATCACATTTGATCTGGCTTTATTGAGGGACGTTGTTCGACCGCGCACGTTTTTCGACCGTTCATGTGAGGTTGGTCTCCACTTGTTTGCCTCCCGATTTGCTGGACACCCCGCTGGCGGGACCTGCGTTGGAGCCGTTGGCGCGGCCGATGGATCTCTTCGAGCCTTTGGAGCCGGAGCGGCCAGGGCCTTTTGCTCATCCAACCCGCTGGGGTCGAGCAGAGCACGCGACGCAGGCTACAGAGGTCTGGCAAAAATTGGCAGATGTGGACTGAAGGTTGCGGAAACATTGGGAAACGCTATTAATATAGCTGCTCTTCCTATGCCTTGTTTCTCATGCTTGTCAGGGTGACCATGCTTGGAGGTCACCGAAGTTGGATTGAGTCACCCCCCCAACCTGCTCCGGTGCAGATTCCGCAGGGGATGGGTCCTCCACCGGGCCTGGCGTATGACAGCTCGCCCAACGTGGATCCAAAGGCTTTGGGCGAGGTGCCTGAGGACCGTTTGGTTCTCCGGCCGTCAGAGCTCGGTGAAGGCCGTGGGTCGTTGCTTGGACGAGCGAAGCGGCGACGGAGTGGAAGGATCGGTTGTTCGGAAGTACTGATGTGGCGACTCACTGAGTCGAAAGAGCAGGGAAATTGCTTTGACACACAAATCCTAGGCACATCTAGGCACCATCCAAACCGATAAGACATGATAAGACAAAAATCAATTGATCGAGCCCCTCATCCTCCATGAACTGAACTTCACGAATCTGCAGGACTTCAGACCTGAGCCTGGCTTCCGGCGCGAGCCCGACTTCCCTTCCCGGCCGCGGGCACATGATGAAAGCACCTTGGTGTGCCAGATGAGTTTGTGATTCAGCACACGTGAGCTGAAACACATGCACAATTGGAGCCTTTGGCACTGTCCCATTGCGGTCGGCCAATGTGAATTTCACGCGGATGATCATTCTATATACACAATATATACGTGTATATATATATATACCGCGAGATAGTGAAACTTAGAATGTGCGTTTGGAAACGAAAAGGCGTAAAGGAAATATGGACCCTTAAAAACTACCGGAACTGGTTCCGGTACTATTTTTGGATACCCTTATGGCACTTCGACTTAGAATGCGTGCGCTGGATGTCTGATTTTCTGCATATGTATAAAGGATTTGTGACAGATGGGAATGGCGGTTCATCCGGTTCCTGTACTTTTTTCCCCGGATTTCTGCACATCACAGGCGTAAGCTTTTTGGTGATGGGATTGTTTTGGTGATGGAACACCCAAAGAACTTTTCTAAGTTCTGCTTTTGAACTTGTGAAAAGATGCCTAGAATTGCTGACAGCATTGGATTTCACAAGGAAATATCCACATGTTTTAACCTCTTCTATGTCTATGTTTAGGAATTTATATCGGACTGGAACTTTGAATGCCGCGGGCATTCTAAGATGGAGATGCAATCTATGTGTTTGGAACTCAAACAGGCATTCTAAGTTTCGCTATCTTAGTGTGTATATATATATACATATACGCGAGGGAGGGAGGGAGAGAGAGAGAGAGAGTGTGTGTGCACAGATCCACCCAACAAAGCACAATTTAAAGTTATTTGGAAGGAAATTGACCCGTTCCTGTGCTACTCACCTAGCGCAAACTGTGCGAATCTGACCCCCTCAAACTTTGTGTTCTGCAGGAGGGGTCTCGCAGGATTTACACTGAAGACTCCTGCGAAGAATGAGGAAAGTCCAGTATTACATGCTGATAATTTATATAGAAGATGGCTTGTATATATAGTGAAAGCCAGACAGTGTCGCCACCAACGCCCTCAGCCCACCAGCCGAGTTGAGTAGTGATCACGAAGCAAACATCTCTCCAGGTGAGTCCCATTGTCCCAATCCACTCGCTAGGCGACGAAGAGGAAGTCCAGAACTTTGGCGCCATGGTCGCCGTTCAGGACCGACGATCCCGACGATTTGCCAGATTTCAATCGGCCATGACATGCTCAACAGCGGATGGCATGGGCATGCATGGGCGTCATGTGGAGTCGTTTGAAAGAGGATCTACTGTAGATCTCGAGGTTGGCCAGTGTTGACATCCCCAGCTGGCCCCCCCCTCTCCACCGAGATCGCCGGCTTTGGCCCAACAAGAGCACCGATGCCGACGACGGTGCCAACCAAGGTTGGCGCGGGTTTTGGTGGTGCTCGGCTCGGGTTTGGAGGACACCAGTCATCCCTGCATCAATGGACACCAAAGCCGAAGCTGCCAAAGCTCCTTCGACAAGGACGGACGACCTGAGAGCCAGAGTCGAGAGGCAGCCAAGGCGCTGCCAAGCTGGTTTCCTATGGTTCCTTCATGTCCCTTCCAAGGCCGCATACAAAGGAAGGAGGAAGGAAAAATCCGGCTATGTTCTACTTACATGCATATATACTCGTGCATTGTGCAATGGATTTTGGAATATATGTTTATCCCTCCTGTCGTGAATAATTTCATCCCCCACTTCCACAGCTCTCGCTGTTTGGTTTTCAGGTCGAGAGTGTCCTGAAAGTGCCATGGCTTGCAGATAGTGCAGAGCCAACAATCACCAGTTGGACTAAAGATGCTAATGGTGGGTGGTTTGCCAGAAAGAAACCTGCTCACGTGTTGCGATCACTAAGTTGCGGCATCACGAGCCCGCAATGATAGCCTGGTGCCAAGACGGGCGATGTCGCATTTGCTGAGACAGAAGCTGAAATTCCTCTTGTCGTACCATGGGTTGAGGAGTTGGAGCGGAACTTCAGAACAGACCTCCTTCAAATCAAGGTCGATCAAAACCGCAAACCGCGTCCAAACCATTCCCCTCGACCGCTGGACACGAAGTTGCTGTTTGTCAGGATCTCTACTTTGAGATGGGCCGAGAAGGCTTCTGGAAGATGTGCAGGCAAGCTCTTTGAGCCTTTGAGCGAAGCAAAAAAGTGTTAGCCAACAACATGGGTCGAACTGAGGATGCGTGGACAGCATGGAGCCTTGAGCGGAGAGGTGCATTTTCCAGAGCTGACTGGAGAGTAGATCATCGTGTATACGAGACAGGTATATAGGTTATTGTATCTCAAGTAGCTATAATAGACACCGGTAGAACACCCTCGGTCACCTTCGAAACTCTCGGGCAGTTTCATAATATGCCACTTTCACGCGGGTATTTCTCCAAAGTTAGATCTGCATGGCCTAAGTCCATCAAGTCCTCTCCAGTCGGTCGCATTGAATCGAAAGCACCCAGACAGAATGATCAGAGGCCCAAACAGGCCGAACAGGAGTGGCTGGCAACTCCACCAGCTTATTGGTAGAATTGGTCTAGCCGTCACAGGCACCAGATTCTGCCGCCTGCCTTTGAGGGAAAAAAGCTTCGCCGCCACCATCTCTCAGCATTTCTAGCGAGGTTCAGGTTGGTGGGTCGGGGTCCAGTTATGACCCTCTCGCTGAGGCGTGCTGAAAGGCTGCGCAATCAGCTGAACTTTGTGGAGATGTGGTTGGCGGAAACCACTGGTCCTCCCTGCCGCAGCCCCAAATCCGATTGAGTTGGCATGCTTTGACACGGTTTAGCTATGTTCGGCTCGTTGAAGACTCCCAGACATCTGGGCCACCCATTTTGTGTTTTGCAAGACCCCCAGCAGCCCCCACCCAACCCCACAGACCCCATGACAGGTTCGGCCGAGTGGTCCTGGGACAACCGCGAGGGCTATCGAGAAGAGATCGACTCCTTAGTTCGCTGCCCAGCCCAGTTCACGGTTCCTCACGTCTCGGGTTGAAGGACGAACGTCCGTAGTGAAGAGGTGGCACATGTCAACAAATACAATAAGTGTGCATTGTGTGTGTGGTGCTTCAAAAGTCTACACGTCTAGTCTATTTAGCCTATTTTGTATCGCATGAGTTTGGTGCTTCTTGGACAGCCAGATCCACCAGGGATGGTCATAAGCTTCACCTGTTCACGTTGGAAACTGAGGTTTGCTCCGAGCTTGAAGAGCACGGGCCCGAGCGGCACATGATTACAATCCACATGATTCTGATCACACCATTGACATTAATGCCCCAGCCGATGTCCCATACACTCCATGTATGCCATATATGCCTACATTGACCCCCCAATCCACCCCAATGCGGGCATATATCCCGTACAGTGTGGGCATATGTTCCGTACATGGAGCATCTGGGTGTGGTCAATATGCACAAAAGAGTGAAGGTTTCACCACATCTTCCCAGTGAACTTGTGCCAGTCATGATGAAACCGATGTGAACGCCACTCCGGTGAACTCCGACGCCCGATGCGACCGAGGTTCTGCAAAGAGGCGCAAGCGATTTGTGAAGAGCTCTTTGATGAGCGGCATGGTGACCTTTTGGAAGCGTTGTTGCTCGGCGGAACTGGGCAGAAGAGTTGTGCCGTGACAGTCTTCGTGCCGTGACAGCCTCCCCAACAGGGTTCCTTCATGTTCCTTCCATGTTGATTGCTTCGGGATGCGGACTGGGTGGACGAGGTGCGGGATCCAAAATCCAGATTTGGTTTCTCTCATCGCCATGAGCTTCCTTTCTGCAGCGATTTGCACCAATGATTACAAGCATATTCACTTGTGTGTCTCGCATTCGAGCAAAGCCTATGGATGCCGCAGAAAGAATGCCATTGCTCTATAGTTGGAAGAAAGGGAAAGGGACAGCTTGTAGGCACAAGCTGGTGGTGTTTAGCGAGCAGCACATTTCACACATGATTTTGCCGGTGGACCGTGTGCAGTATGCACACTCACGAACAGAACATTACATTGGCAAAGATGTTGGCCTCCAAGCAAGCCTTGAAACACGAAAACTTTGGGTGCTGAGAGCTCCAGCAAGATCACCCACTTTGGTCAGCCAGCTCCACAGGACGACATGCCAGCGTTGGATCAGAACAGAGTTCCCATGAACGTCCGTGAACGACCGGAGGATGACGCTCGCTTTGCTCCCCTCCAACGTGCGAGGCCGGAGGATGAGCTCGTGTTGCCCTCTCATATGTGAGGCGCTGAGACCGTTCCAAAGCCGCAACCGGTCTTGGGCGACTCCGGTCTTGGGCGGGTGGAGATCGGAGATGAGTTGAGCACAAGAGACGAGTGGCTCAGGTCGCAGCTCAGCGTCCATGTGCACTTGAAGTGGCCAGTGCCTTACATTTGGGTGGGCACGGGCCACGTGGAGTGTGATGAGTGACGTGCTGAAAAACGCATTGATTGCACAGGTTGACCACCAAAGACATGTTCGCTGCCTTTGAAGGTCTTCGTGCCGTTAAGGTTGGAGAAAGTGGAGTTTTCTCAGTGGCCGTCGGGAAAAAACAAGTAAACACTACTGAGAAGCTTGAGCCCCGAGACCCGCAGGCTTTTGGAGAACGCAGCTCAGATGAAGGGCAGGCTGCAGCCTTATCTGAGGAAAAGCAATGCTTGGGTCGTTTAAGTCAAATCCCCTAGCTAGTTGCGTGGGCGGAAGAGATGTAAATATCTAATCTAATCATGTCCAATCCATCTATATAATTATTTAGATGATAGAGCGAGATAAAGATGCATCGAGTGGAGCCGCATTGTGTGGGAATGTGTTTCACCGCATGCAACGGGGTTTGGCGGACTTTTTGGGGGGGCAACCTTCAACTTCAGGCCATCGCGGCACTGATGGAGTTGGTGAGTACTGATCCGGACTTTGGTAATGGGCCGGCCCAGCTGGTTTCTATTTAAATTTGGACATGTTTACATGTTTGCTGGAACTTGGCCATCATGGATTGTATGCCATCCAGTGCCAGGGAATCCTTTTGGCGAAGCATCTACCGATTGTGGTGCTGGGCCCAGGGTCAGGGGCTGGTTTCGACCAGCCTGACAATTCCGTCGCACTCTTTGGCACCTTGTCTCAGCTTTCACAAGCAATGCAGCAGGTCAAAACCTCTTCATGAATGAATCATGTCTTGGTTCTTTGAGGTTGTCGAGCTATGCAAGGATGCTCAACTCCGACTTCCAGACCAAGGCGCAAATGGCATCACACCTGCTCAAGACCATACTGCTGGTTCTTTTTCACCCGAACCGCCTTCCAGTGTCGGACCCTGGACCCTGGATGACCGGCGGTCTTGGGGCACCGGAACCTGCCACCGCTCCACCGGTCGGTGAAGACGACGTGAATGGAGCAGGTTCGGCAGCTGGTGGCCTGGAAGCTCAGTGGGGGGGTGCACAACGCACGTCCTGAGCGAACTGAGTCCAGGGGACGAGAACTATGGGCGAAGTGAAGAGGTGTGCAGAGTGCCATATGTGCCATAAAAGCGTCATTTTGATTTTCGTTCATGAACCTTCAAGATCCATGCAAGATCTATGAAGATCTTCGAGTGTTGATGGACGAGAACTTGAGGAAAAATCACTCCACGGATCTCCACAGCAACGGATGTATTGCTTCTGCGGGATAGTCTTTGGACACTTAGGCGTCTTTCAATGACGAGCGCTGGGAGGAAGGAATGGAGGTGGCTGCGCTTTGAACAAGCCTTGGGCAGTGCAGCGCATTGCTGCTGTGAGCACGACACCGTTTGCGGTGACCACACGTCGCGCTAGGCCAACGTGCAGGGAGGTCAGTTCAAAACCTACCAAGCCATCAAGGCCCTGGCAGTCGGATGTGCAGATGGAACGGACGTGTGAGAAGCCTTCTTCGGCTCAGTGTCCTAGCAGAGTTCAGGGGAATTGATCTGGGGCATTCTTGGGTTCGTTGCACTTCCTGACTAGCTGTTCCTTTCAGAAGGTCCTTTGATCATGGCCTCCTAGGTGGACTTGATTCCTTGACTTGGAGGGTCCCAAAGACCCAAACCAACTGGGACAGTCCATTCATTCACTTCCTTGAGTCCTCTTGGGTCCTTGCCTGCTGTTTCATGTCCACACCTGAAATGGTAGATCCACACACTGTCTTTTCAGGTCTTCCAGATTGGTTTCACCATAGATCCATCTTGGACGTGCAGAACAACATTCAAAGACACTTAAACACCCATCGAAAAACCCTACAGTAGACTAACCAATTCAACCTTGATGTCATACTTGACCCGTCCGACCATCGAGCTCCTGCTGTCCTTTCGACAGCTGACCTGAGACGGTCAGCAGAAAAGCGTCGCACAGGCCGCTGAACGCAAGCTGGGTGGCAGCTGCAATCCGGAAACCCAGGCGCCTGCATCCATTCAGATCAGATCGTTCTCGAAGGTCTTCTGGATGTGTCTCCAATGGAAGATATGGACCATTTGGCATGTTGCTTGTGTGTGTGTGTTATGTCAGCTTAACACTGCAGGTTTGACTTCTTGTTCTCGCAACCCCTGTTAGAGCAAAAGATTGTTTTTGACCCGTGCGTGCCCTGGAGCATTGCAAATATTATACCTACAAATGTATATATGTATATGTATGTACGTACGTATATACATATATATATATATACTCTATATATATATGTGTGTGTGTGTGCGCATGTGCTTGTAATTGGTGGGTATTGATAGATTATTTGTTGTCCGCAGCTTGACTCCCGAGATGACGGTTTCATTCATGCAAACAACAGCAGACGGCATAAAGAGGTTTGTGGAATCGCTATACTTGCCCAGAAGAAAGTATAAGTGAAAGTAAGTGGACGGCTGCTTATGGTTGTAAGGTCCGTTTTTCCTGCTCGTTTTGCTGAAGTTCTTTTGGGTTTTGTTGGTGCCCTAAGCTTCATGGCATTGGATGCCACAAGATGGAATCCTGCCAAGTGCCCGATCTGAATCAAGGATCGTAATTAGGTGACGGTGAGCCAACTCAAGATTATCTCACTAGAGCCCCTACAACTGGGCGGTGAATGATTATAGATTAGCAATGGTGATAACGTGTGATAAAGCTTTCAGCAGTGCAGGTCAATGGCAAAAGAAACTGTCTGGAAGTGATGCCAGAGAGCAGGCAGAGATGTCCAGTGGCTGATTAAAGAAAGACGGTATTGGGACGAGTTGCTCGCAGAACTGCTGAGGTGGAGATTGTTGTTCGTGAAGCGATGAGCAGATTGTAGATGCTGGGCTCACTGCAGATACTGTTGTCAGTGCTATCTTCAAACCAACTGCCGTGAGATGCTCCAACAAACATGCGATAGCCAGCATCCGCAGCGAAATTGACTGGTCGTTGTTACTCATTGTCGAAGTCTCAGATGGTCGAGTTCAGATTTGTGAGAGGGCCTTAGCATGGCCATCCCAAGCTTGGTCACGCACATTGAGAGATGCATTTCAGGGTTGCAGTTGGCTGACCAACTTGACAATCCCAGACTCAGTGACTCACATTGGGAATTTTGCCTTTGCATAAGGATTGCCACTCTTTGGTGAGCTTGACACTCCCAGAATCAATGACACACATCGGGGATTATGCCGGTGCAAATTGCTTCTTTGACGAGCTTGAGCAAGCGTGAACATCCCAGACTCTGCGGCCGGCCTTGGAATTGGGCCAGTTTCGTTGGTGCAAAGGGTGCCCGCACCACCGATTCCCGCCAGCCCAGGCTCCAAGCGCATCATAATCCTGTGAGGAATGAAGGGGAGCACAGCTAATGTTGGAACAGCTTGATTTGCATGTTGATATATTATATTATATATATATATGTGTGTGTGTGATTAACGTGTGTATCTATTTGGTTGCGTATCTATTGGTTTGTTTTTATCTGTATTTGCACATGTATGTTCATATCTACGCATTAGTTTAACAAAGTGTGTATGTGTTGGTATTTGATATATAGAGAGAGAAACGAAAGCCAGCCGAAGGCTTGGGGTGGAGGGTTTGACGCGACATGCTAAGCGGAATGACATAAAACAATGGACATCGTGATGGTTTTGGCAGTTGAAGTGCAAAAGAACGTGTACATGGTGGTGTTTGTGAAGGCATGTTTTTTTTTGGCGGTGTCTTTTGAAGTGGGGATGCGGAGAAAAGCGATTTGGGAATGATTTTGTGTTGGCGCGGCTGGAAAGAAAAGCGTGATTTTCTGTGTTCGTGTGAAGGATTGTGGTGGAACGGCGGCAAAACGTGGAAATACCGCTGGCCTTTGGTGGAGGGAGAGCGTGAAATCACGTAAATTGCAGCGTTTTGGAAAAACCGTTGAAGTCACAATGTTTTGAGTTCGTTGTGTGAAGTTTAAAGAAGAAATGTTGTATTTGCGGCGCCTTGGACTGTTCGTTGATGGCCTCCATCTTCGCATCCGTTTCGTCTTCCTGCGTGTCTACCTCTTCGTTGATCGAACTCGGCACTTGGCAACCCAGGCCGGCGCCAAGAGTTGTTTGCAAGGATCAGGCAATGGTTGCAGTGTTCGGTCTTCAGTCTGGACAATCAAATCCAACAAGCTGCGTGTGGAAGCAAATTAACAATTGGTAGAGCAAATGACGTCGCTGCGAAAGCCGTTTAAGGCAACACGTTTGGCTGCGCCAGACGTAGCGCCAGGCAGCGAGAGCGTCAGGCTGCGAGCAAACCTGACACCAGTTTTTTTGGAAAGGAGGACTCAGGTTCTACTAACACACAAAGCTGAGGAGAGCTCTGTTGCCAAACGTAATGACGGAAGTTCTGTAAGAGCTCATGAAAGCAAAGCTCACAATTCAGTCGGCCTGCCACTACAATTTGTCGAAGCTTCTGCGGCGCTTCACTGTTCAGCAGCAGAAGCAGGCAGCGCTTGAGACACTGGCAGTGTGGAGGTGCCAGCCTCGACAAGGGCCAGCAGTTCAGCGAGATTGCACGCGATCCCAGAGTTTGGCCGAGTATGTCAACACCATGAGGGAGCTTCTAAAATAGATGCTCCGCGACTTTTGAAAGAGATCAACCAAGGCACGTATCAGGCTCAGAGAAGCGTGTCAGACATCAAATGGTCTGTTTACGCTAGCACAACTCCCTTCTCCTTAACGCTTGCGCAGGTGGAGTCAGTCTCAATACCAGCCACAACTATGGGGGAAGTAGGCAAGATGGACCAGCTTTTGACCTCTTCAGCTTCACTTGTTGGGCAAGGACCCGCGTTGATCGATCAGGGTGCTTGCAAGCAGAGGCTGTTTGGCGCTTGAAAAGTTCAGCATGTCTCCCAAATGTCGTCAAGAGCATGCGAGTCGGTTTAGCACCGTCTAGCATCAGATGGATCAAGAGCCCACAACACCACGATGTTTTTATCCAAAGGTCTCAGCTCAGTACATTCTGAATGGTGAAATGACGGGCCAGTTTGCTTTGTTGCGAATTGTTGTCTGTTCGATCAACTTCATCCAGGGTGAGCCAGCTCTCCTTCCCGGCGTGCATGCGGCACCGGCGATCCATTCAGCAGCCCGCAAGTGTTCATCGCTGCTTTGGTGACGCTACCAACGAGCTATAATTGCTAAATTGCGCGACTGCCGACAAGCCCCGCGGGGAAAAAATATCCATCACGCCTGCAGCAACAGAAGGCTGGCTTTCGTCCTCCCCTTCGCAGGTTATATGTATGTGTGTATATATATATATATTATCTATCTATCTATCTATCTATTTATTAAACCATATACTTATATATACTACTCTATATATATACAGCCCCGTGCCTGCGCTAGGGAAAAGTTGATTTTCAGGAGGCTGTGATTGCTGCTTTGCTCCGTCGCTGGCTTGAGAGTGCCGGTGTCCCAGGCATCTCACCCAAAATCCACAACCGTTGCCCCGTACCAACCCGATCATGAGTCTGCCAGTGAATTTGAATCAACGAGCCTCCGATGTCGAAACACATGGATGGTTCGCCAGGCCACCAAGTTGCTCGATATCGCAGCTGCCTCAGTGACGTGACATGACGATGCAGTGGGGGCAGATCAGATGGACATTGAAGGGCATGGATTCATGATGGGAGCAATGGCCGAGAACTGCACAGCCTCCCAGAAATTCAAGTGCTGACAGAAGAGCTACCAGCAAGGCAAGGAATGGAACCAACAAGGACAATGTCAAGAAGAACCGCTTCAAAAAGCAGAGCAAGTATTATTAAGTATTGTAATATGATCATTGTTAGGTCAAGCAGCTAGTTGTTTAGAGATGTTTAGAGCTACCCCATGTTATCCGACAATGAGGTTGAGTGCGACCTTGTCGCCAATTGCCCTGCCGCTGTCCCGCCCTTGGCGACCTTGCCAATTCCTGGTGCACCTGTCATTGGGGCAACACGCGGCGGCGGCGGTGCTGTTCCAGGTGATTGCACTCATCGACTGCTTCAGAAGCGGAACCACCACTTCTCCCACTGCATCAGGCGACCAGCGCGGTCATTGAGTCATGCATGCGCATGCGTGCGTGGGCACCTTCCGTCCGCTGAAGCTGGGCACCGACCGTTTGGGCAAACAACCTGCCAACCGAGAATGCAACACTAACGGGACATTTGGATGATGTAAATACCTCAATTATATAGATAACCCCACAGCGTCCTACAAGTGGTCATGATGGACACCCGTTCTGCTCCAGCTCTCATTATGCCAGGCGGTGATGGGTCTGGAAAATCAGCCGCTTGTATTCACCTGTGCTTGGCCATGGGCAGATGGAATGTTTGACAAAGTTGGAATGGATGAAAGAATGTCCCAAACTGGTCCACAATGGAGAAATCAAGACCCTCAAACGCAGGCAGTGACTTTGTTACCCATGATTACCATTGTTTACCGTTTACCCCAGTTGTACACCCAGATTCGTCGGGTCACGCACGCCAAAGAAACGGGGCAAAAACCGCTCGTCCGGGGCAAACCGCTGAGGTCCCTTTTGAGCTGGTCCGCGTGCGCAGCAACTTCTCCGGAACTTGCAAGGTTGGCCCGGCTGGACTGAGGAGTGTCACGTGCGGCGCCCCGGTGAAGCTGGGGGTGCGGGGGTAGGGGCCCACTGGGCCCGGTGCTGGTGTGGAAAGAAAGGGGGGACGTGGGTAGCTGAAAAGCGTTTTGGTTTTCAGAGAGGTTTAGGAAATAGACGAGATTGACCTACTTTAGACCAAGAACGACTGGGTGGGCTTGGGGCAAGTCAATGACCCAAAGCACAGCCGCCTCTTTAGCCATTGAGTATCAAGACGGTGGAGACGCAGCGATGTTGCATGTTTCAGTCATGGGATTTCTGCAACGGGCAGCAAGAAATGAACTTCGGCGCGCAGCCGTTCCAGTAGCCGTCGTAGGCAGCATGCGCAGAGGATGGCAAACCTTGAAGAAGCGGCGAAGCTTTTTGACATTGTCCCCGGCAGCAAAGGGGCAAACGGGTGAACCTTGACCAAGATGGAGTTGTGTATGTGAGTGTGTGTTCGTGTGTGTGTGTGTGTTTTGCTTTTTTCCTGTTGATTTCCGTTTTTTTCAATATCTTTGATATTATGTCCCTTGCACGATCTAACAGATCTCACCTTCGTGTTTCCAAGGATGATTTGATAATGGGGGAGCGCGCTGCGGCCAGAACCAATCAAGCACTCAACAAGATGCACGGCCTGAAGTTTAGGGGAGTTTGTCAGTTGCCACCTGGTTGCAAACGCCAGGCAAGAACTTGGTCACATGTGCTTGACCAGTTGAGGATCTCGGGGATGTATGTGGGCAAGAACATGGCTGTGAGCAAGAAAGTAGCTGATAACTTGGAGAAGGCGTTTGGAAAGGCCAAAAGCCCAGGACAGCTGCAGCCTGTTTTTGGTTGTAAGAATGATGAATTTCTCCCTCGACAAAGTTTGACCATTGAACATGGCGCACACCTACGACACTGTTGAAATACAATTTCTGACCATTTCCTACAAACAAGGAAGCCTCACTGATTCAAGAGCTGGTTTGGACAACGGGTGAGCTCTTGGGAAGGCACACCCCGTCACACCCCATCGCCCACCGAGCAGTCCTCGAGCTTCCTTCCGCTTCGGCCCATGTGGCGAAGGACTCGGCGGTCCGCAGTGCAGAGATGTGAGGGCGGTGGAGTTTGCTGAAGGTCCAATTGGCTTGGAGATTCAGTGGACGACCCCGCCAGCTGCTGGGCACGTGGGCACGAAACCAGGTGAAACCGGGTTGCTCAAACCAGGTTGCTTCTGCGATCTTTTGCATGTGTTCAATGGCCCCCAGGCTGGTTCATTTTCGAGCTTTGGGGAATGGTTTTTGGGGGGGTCCGAGGTCGTTGTTGGTGTGGTGCCGGGTGGGGCTGGTGAGAATGCATCGATCCAGAAAGGGCAAGCTTTGCTCGAGATCAACGGCTGCCCGATGACGGCCAGAGCCTCAGGTCTCAGGGCATGAGACCGCGATCGATGCTACAGCACCGAGAACGATATATAAAGATCGTCAAAGAGCCATAAAGAGCCTCAAGGCAATTCATGGCAATTCAAGCTGTTTTTTTGAAGACAATCATTTAAGGTGCTACCATGGCTATACCAGACTTTTCGGTGCCGCACCACTTACTCTTTTCTATATCTTTCTTCGCCACTCATCCTCACCTCTTCGCATCAGGAGGCACTTCCTGAGATGGAGCTTGAAGAGTTGATGCAGCAGCGGCCGTTGCGGCTGGCAGTCGCCACCCTTGAGCGAGTCGCGGCTTCTGCGACGTCGAGCCGAGCAGACGCGGTGCGACACAAGGGCGTCACCAAGTTCCAAAGCGCAGTGGCAGTGCAGACCGCAGCAGAGGTGCTGGAATTGGTGTTTCTCGGCCTGATGGTAAAAGACTGGGATAGATGTGCAGTAGGTACAAAGGTGCAGATTTGCAGGAGAACCCCGACCCGGGCTTAGTGGCTTTATTCCCTTCGGCCTTGGGCTCTCCACTTCTGAAAAGGTCTTGTCCCGGAAAAGCGTCAGCATTGCCAAGAACACAGAACGCAGATCAAGCATGACCAGCACAGCTTGAGCAGTACTTTTTGCAGTTCAATTCCGCACATGATCGATTTCGCTCGCTTCCGAGGTCATTTGCGACGTATTTTGCGACGTATCTCGGCCCACTGAGGCATGAGGAACATCGCCGTTGTATCCACGCGACCTTGCAAGACCACTCTTTGGCACAGCAGTTCTTTTCAAATGTGCAAGTGCCCCGAGCCAGCTCCTCGGACGTGAGAGTTCTCAATGACACATTAATTCCGGCTCACGAAGTCAAAAGCTGTGAACAAGCTTTGATGTATTAGAGGATCTTAGAGGGGATTGCCAGACAGTATTATGCGACGCATGCTGGTCGTATGCGGCTGTGGTGTCCAAAAACAACGTAGTACTATAATAATACATCGATAGATACAGATACCGATGTTTAGTCATGACAAGTTCACATAGTATTAAGATATGAACATCAAAAGCCCTACTCTTCACATCTCCTGGTGCAATGAGCAGCACCCTGTTCGCATCCGTGCGAAGCCATCCGTGGTCGGTCCTCAGGTGAGGGGGCGCCAGTCACGCGCTGGGACTTGCGCCTGCCCATGGAACCCTTGATCTACCGAGCTTTGGAAGAACTACTGGGCAGAAGCAGCGGCGAAGAGGTGAGGCTCCACCGGTCCGGTGGGGTGTGGGGGATGAGGCGTATGCTGCGGCGGCGAGCTGAGGGGGTTGAGTTGTTGGTTGTGCCTTGTGGGGTGGATTCTGGAGAGTTGGATGGGGCGGAAACCACGCAGATGGTGCATGCGCGCCTCCGCAAAACTTGCGCTCGGAGCGTGAGAAGAAGATTAGAAGAACCAGAGCCCGGAGGCGCAGAACAGAACCTTTGTCAAGAACCTGGCAATCTTGATGTGGTCGGTGCTCCTGCACAGAATTCAGAACATGAAAACACTTAGGTTGGCCAAACCTCCAAAAGAAACGGTATGTTTATCCCCTGGTGTTACCCCACTCCTCCAATTTTGGCTCGTTCCTTTGAGCGTCCCGACCACAGAGCACTGGCTAACGTTTGTAGCTACTTGCCCCCCGTTGATCCTATAGGGAAGGAGCCCTGAAGGCTGCAAACTTGTGAAGAATATGACAGAAGTGTGGGCCCACATGAGCTCCAAAGCCTAAGACCAATACCCAGCTGGCGCGGTGCCGCATGTTCAACTTTGGTGCCAAGAACCTCCTAATGTTTCGAACAGCAGGCGTTTTGGGTGATTTAGATTTGGAAAAAAGATCACACCCCGGCAACAGCCCGGCAACAGCAGCGCAGGGAGCTGGTGCCACCTTGGAAGACTTAGCGGGTCCTGATGCAGAGCTTTGGGAGCTTGGAGTGGTCGTCACTGAGCCTGGCGCAGCCCCGTGACCGATGGGTCCTGCGGCGGATGGTGCTTTCTTTTTCCCAAACACTTTTTGGCGCATTTGCTTGTGCAAAATGAGGATGTTGTTGCACGAGACAGTTACAACATGTGCTTCAACCCTGGAGGGATACACCACCGGTGATGTGGTGCCACTTCCCGCCCCGCCTTGAAAAACGGGTTTGATTTACCTGCATTGTAGAGGTCAGGCGCTCAAGCACTTCAAAGCATCCATCGCCGCAGCCATAACACTTGAGCCCAGCAGTGCAGCTCACGAGAGTCATTTCCCAAGTCCGATGCACAGGGGAAGATCATCATCCCCGTCATCCCCACTAGTGGTCGGAGTTCGTGACCATAGCAGTCGAGTTTGTGCTTGTTGTGGCCTGGTATGCTGCGAGACCATTGCACCTTCTAGGGTGTGCCACAAACAAGGGATTTCCACCAGGTCGGTCTACTTGAAAGTGTCAGACTGACTGGTTGTATCTTGAACTATTTCTCACTGTGGAATGTGACACAGTAAGTAGAACGAACTTGGCAAAACCTCATCGCATCCCCTGTTCGGTCCGTGATTCGGTCACGAAAAAGGATGAAAAAGGGAATCCTTGTACACTCTTGGTCCGCATTTTGAGCCATCGCCAATAGGTTGGAGGCCATCGCTATTAGGTTATATATGTTCTTTGTGTTTTCCTGTTTTGAGTTCTTTCTCTCTCATTTGCCGCATCTACTGCCTCCTGGACTGGTCGTCCGAGGCTCCGCAAGCGGTGCACTTCGACGCTGCGGAGCGATGTCTCTACACCGCCTTTCTGGCGTTGCAGGATGTGACATATGAAATGGGACCAACGCATTTCTGGCCAGGAGCCGGCGGGTTGCCATTGAATGCAGGTGTCAATTGAATCACCACCAGAACAGTTGAGGAAAAGGCGCACAATATCTCGAGCAATAACTATTTTGCCTTCAAAATGCCTACAGTCCTGGTTCCAAGGCGTCCAAGAGGGGCATCGCTCAGTGCTGCCACGTCAGGAACCAACACTCCTGTGGCCCACAGACGCTTCGAAGACGACCCCGGCTGCTTGGAGGCTGTGCCACTTGCTGCGCCGCTTTTGCAAGCAGGCGCTTGACCCACGCAGATGGAGAATCGATAACCGAAGTGGCTTTTTGTCATATAATGCAGAGCCCAAGAAAGGGGGGTGGCTATATACCCGCTTTGAACTGAAGAAATGCAAATTGTTGTGAGAACCGAGGTTTTGAGAACAAACCAACCTGATGCAACATGCGTTTAAAAAATGCGGAATTGTTTTCATGTTTCCTTTGGATAGTGAGATAGCTCCTTGTTTCAGGAGACTTGGTGATGTACGATAGTCGCTTGCTGCATTGTGGCGGTGGCAATACTTCCACCCAGACGAGGGCACTCCTTTACATTACCTTCCGCGACCAGCAACTGATCAGCAGAACAATTTGCCTGGGAAAGAGGTCTCATCCAAGCAGGCGTGTTTCTTATTTTCTTCTATTTCCGGCAGGAAAGAAGCGAATGTCCGATATTTTCTACTCCTTAACCAGCCTTAACCCCACAGCCATCACCTTTGGCATTTCAAAGCCGAAAATTGCTCCCTCCAATTCCCCCTGTCGGATTTGCCCTAGGCACCGGGACCCGCAGAGCTTGGGCATCCATCAGCACTCCATTCGGCCCAGCTTGGCGGGCCGCTTCCGCTTGCGCCAGTTTCGTCCCTGAGCGGCTTCGTGCGCAGAGCCAGCGGCGCACTTCGTGCAGTTTCCACCGGTGGAGAGCAAGGGACAGCTGAACCCACGGCAGGTGAGTCCGTTTCCCCTGGTGAATGGGCCTCATCCCGAAGTACCTGGTGAATGAGCCCGAAGCCGTTGGCTAGGATCAGCTAGGCCCAGCTGCAGAGAAGGTGGTGGCGCAATCGAGGAGAAAAAGGGATGTTGGGTGAAATCGGTCTTGCACTTTTCACTGAAGTTGGCGAGGTTCAGTCGATGTTTAGGTGGGCTCAGCTGACAGGTGAAAGGTCCCGTTATTGTATGAGCCATGCGCCTGCCATTTCATGCGAAGGGAGCACATGAACAAACAGAAGCAGGTCGAATTTCCAATTGAAAGTTGCTACTCGTACTAGCTGCTGGCAATCACCCTTATATAGATTTAAGTCAGATTCCAACCTGGCTTCGTTTTTACTCTTAGGCTCAGTGTGGTCTTCCACTCCAGCCGAGGGCCATCGCCTCAGTCTTTGGACCCGGTCGCACCACTTGACATCGCCGAAGCCGTCGGGGCAACCGGTCGGCAGGTTTGCGCACATCGGGCACGACCGCATCATTGGAGAGGCACCGCGAACGCGTCGAACGACTGGATTTCCGGATGCCCTGCGGATGAAAGAGGCGCTGGTATGGATGGTTTTGGCGGTTTTTGGACCTTTCAGATGGGTGGAGTTCTTACGGAAAACCTCCAGCAGGCGTGATAGATGAGCATCGCCTCTGCCTCTCAAGATAGATAGTCCATGATAGTCCAACCTCTTCAAGTGAAATGCATGGTTTGCCGTGGAGGGCTGAGCTGGCAGTGCCGAAACATGTGCGCAGGTCCGAATCACTGTGCCGCAGTTTGAAAAGCTGAAGGAGCGTGCTGGGCCTTTCCTCAGGCTGGGCAAAAGAGATTTCTTGGATTTTCTTGGGGTGGACACCTCTGCAAATCAACTATGTAACTATTGACAGGTTGGCCCCAACCAATAGAAATCAATGTAGGTTGCCACCGTATATAAGGGTTTCCGCATGATCGAGGTCCCTTACGCCACCTTGGTGTTTTACGTAAACACCTTTTGAAATCCATTCTGCGTGGCCAGGTATGTGGAGCGTGAAGATGCGTTGGAGGCAGGGCGGGACAGCCATGTCGTTCATTGCGCAATCTCATACGAGGCGGTGTTATCTCACTCTTCGATGCGGGGCCACTCTTAGTGGCAAAGTCCATTGCAATGTGATGAGAGAATGGAACTTAGCGGAAGGACCTGGGAAGAAGGAGTTGATTTGGTTTTGTGTTCACGTGCTTCCCAACTCATCCCCACTGCTTGATCTGCTTGATTGCAAGAATTTGCAGACACTGAGGCAAGAGGAGCGGAGTTGCTGAACGAAGTGCCTCGTGGAAGAAAGCCCAGACCTCAAACACGTCGACGTGTAGGCTTTGAAGCTTCAGAGCGAATGCAAAACTGCTCCATATTCTTCAACGACGTTTCGCCGCTGCTATAGCGACGGTGGGATTTGGCATGAAAACTGAAACCCCCGTCTTCCTTCCAGACGCGGTTTAGCGCTTTGACAGTTTTTGAATTAAGGAGTCCAAGATGGAGTGTCTCTTCTGCAGCGGGGGCGCCAGCCCCCGGCCCCTCTTCAGGTGTGGAGCTCGATGTGATTTTAGGAAATCCAGAGGTCCACTGCAGGCTCTGAGCAGTTTCGATGCACGTCCCAGGTTCCTGATTTCCTTGAACTGAGCCCTCAAGGGCACACTGCTGACTGCTCGCACTTGGCACCACCCTGTCGAGATCCCTGAGAATGACATGGCTCGTGCCAGCAAGAAGTGGGTGGAGAAAGTGGCACGTGGTGGCAAAGGCAGAGAGAGTTGGCACAGCAGGGCCACAAGGGGCCTGCTCCAAGATGTGGCGCATCATTTGAATAAGCTGTGATTGTTTAATTTCTGAGCCTACTACTACTACCACTAATGACAGCATTTCATGCTTAAAGTAAGGACGTCAGCAGATGTGATCATGGAGCACTTGGCACGGTATTCTTGGGGCTGTTTCGGTGCTTGGATGGCCAAGCAGGAGCTTAGCAACAAGCACTGGTAACAGAACGTTCCTATGTCTTATTGTTTGTTCTTCATGCCGAGCAAGCGCACTGCTGGATGCACAGTCGATGCAGCAGCAAACCCCAAGACTTGTGCTGTTGCTCCGATGGGCTCAGTGTTTCGCCGCGTGCGTCGCCCATCTTGGAGGCCTGCGATCAGCTGAATATCAGCTGAAGATCAGCGGCCACAGGGTGCACCGATGTCGGCGATGCGGGCATAGGTCTTCGCTTGAAGACGGGTAGATTTGATTGAGGTCAAGGACCCCTAAAAATTTACAACCGTGTGGTCACCCACTTGATTCCGTGAGAAGGTCAGAAGTCACGCCCGTGTCCCGGACGGCCGCAATGGACATGCCTCCTGGGGGGCAGTGAGATTCCTCGGGTGCATTGCAGAATTTATCAATCCTGGCAAGCCTGGCCTCAAGACAAGGCTAAAGGGGTGCCATCTTGGCGTAGCATTAGGACACTGACTGGGTATCACAGCGGTTCCGCTTGCTGACTGTGCTTGGCATCAGCAGAATCATGGCTGAGGCTGAACATAGGCCAATGTGTATGACCAACGGTGCTTTGCAGATACATCATGCTCTCCCGTGTCAAACTTTCAATAATTGGCAAACATTGGCGTTAAAAGCGGGCAGTAGCGAAGAAGGCCTCTCTGGGCACGTGACAAATGACATTGCTTTCGAATGTGCCTGTATGAGATTGGATGAGATTGGAGTGTGTGGCAGATGTGTGGCGAAATGGCTATGGCCCTAAAACCCATCCAGGAAGGCCCTGGGACCCTGTGACCTTACACGACGGTTTCAGGTTGGGAATCTCACCGAAGTTCGTCGTTGGCAAGTTTGAGCTTCAAATGGCCAGAAAGATGAAGTCGTAGCATGCCGGACGGCGACGTGCTGGACATTCTGTCATGGGCTCGGATAGAATCAGGTCGAGAGGAGTTCGGTTGCCCTTCACTTCACCCGCCCACCAAACGGATTGGAGTCGTATCATGTGGTATCAATTGGTATCATATTTGTATATATTTGTGACATGTTGTATTGTGTGACATTATTTCCTTTGCAGTGTCTTCGAAGCTCAACTTCTGCGCCGACTGGTCCCAAGGTCGCTGTCCCAGCCCTCCATTTCCTCACCCTCGGGGCCCTCCGATGAGGGGGTCTTTTCACCCAAGTCTGAGCCAGCTTGGAGGAGAGAACAGCTCAGGGGGGGCCGAAACCCCAACAGAAAACGCTGCGAAAGCCGTAGAAACCATCTACAGGACGCTGTCGATGGCCCAGAGAGTCATAGATGACAGCCTGGTGGACTTGAAGCCATTCGTTGCCGTCCACTTCACTTCGCGCTGACTCGTGTCGCTACAGGACCAAGGACATCGTTTTGATCCGCGTGGACCTCAATTGAAGCGGAGCCATGCTTGAACTTGCTGTACCTAGCGGCAGCCCGCGCATACTCAACAACTGACACGACACATTCGTGGAAGAACGTTCTGTTTTCCCATGAGTTGAGGAACCGTCAAGATGCGTCTATCTAAAGCAGCTCCTGTTTAAAGGAACGGCCACGATGGTGTGGAAGAACTGCCCAATCGGGAACATTGTTTTAAAAAAATAACTCTCTAATTCGGCTCTTTGTTTAGACTTTGTAGTAGGGTGTATATAGTAGATTATAGTGGGTGTGGAGCATTTTGACCGTGACCTCCGATTTCTTCGTGAGAACGGTGGCGTGGCTTTTGGGTCGTGGGCCGCCACGTCTCCGAGGCCATGGGCGATCTTCGTGGAATGAGTTCCTGGGCGCCTGGGAGCCCGGAGATGCGATTCAATGAAGCCAAGGAGCAAAAACTGGTGAAGGTGACCTGTTTCGTTCGTTTCACTTGAGAGGAAGGTGCTGAGAGTCCTAAGAGAGATATAGGCCAGTTCTGGACGCAAAGGCAGGAAGAAGTTTAGATAGATACATTCAATTATACTACAGTATATGATGTCTAAAAATTAACTAAATGATGTTGGATGTTCCTCAAGCCATTGATGTGGGCGACCGGAACCCCCAGCGGCCCAATGTCGGAGACTTCAAGGCCCACAAGCGTGCTCAGTGGGAAGAACAGGAGCCTGGGCATGGGTCAATCTTTGGCGAGTCGCCATAGGCACGGAATCACCATAAATCAAAGAGGTGTGGTAGCCCGCGTGCAGAAGGTACTCGCACCTGTTGCAGCATGTTGCAGCGATGTGTGAAACAGGCAACAGAATCTCGTGAGAGCAGGATGTCATGTGGCCTTTCGCCAGAAACAGAGTTCTCACAAGAAACCAGAAACACCATCTGCAAGTTAGGACCGCCTCCAGGAGCAGAAGCGGCAAGCCGCCGCAAAAGGCTCTGGTGGCGTGCGGAATGTGCTCCGGTCCAGCTGGCCAGTGGCTGCGGTCGCGCGGCTAAATCCGCTCGGCCCAAATGAAAGGAGCAATGGAATCGTGCATCAAACGAGGGAGCAAAATGGAGCAAAAACAAGTCCTTTTCACAGATGGACTTTGTGTACCAGTACCATATGTCAAGGGGATATCATCCTCGCGGAGCCTAATTTATGCCAGGTCTATGGTTGGTCGTGGCGAAGGACATGCTTCAGCTTACCCAGCACAGCTCGGTCCCTATGCATGCGGGAACGGGTGTGTAAAGGGATCACCGTAGGGACCATGGGGCGCCTGGCCGTTCTCCCGGTCGCCATGTGGGCAAGGCCGAAGACGCAGACGGACCTCCTGGATCTCGGGGAGGCGGGGGGCAACGTCCTTTGGTGGATCAGAGTGACAAAGAAGGACCCTGCTCAGAGAGGGAGATAGATGTGTATATATATAATATGTACACTTGTTTTAAAAAAAAAATATACAATATAGAATGTATATATAATGATGTAGATGATGTAGAGAGAGAGAGAGAGAGAAATTGATGATTGAGATCATTGAGGAGACAAGTAGTGAGACAAGTAAGAAGACATGGTGATGCCAGGGGTGTTGGAAGTCGTTTCTGAGGCTATGGTGAATGGGTGAATGTTGGGAGGATGTTTTGTGTGTGTGTTGTTTTGTTTCAGCCTCTACCTGATCAGTTCCAAAGACTACCAGTATACATAGTATACTACAGCGATTTTTCACTTGGTTAAGACATGTCAAAACGACGAGCCGGTATTGATGTGCAGAAATGCTCAATTGGTTTGGTGGCGATGTTGCAGAACCGGGGTGATGTTGCAGTTCACTCACTACGTGACCGCATATTGGCCAGTCACTCGCCTTTGCGAGAGAGAGAGAGAGAGAGTGAGTGAGTGAGTGAGTGAGTCACTATGGATGGGATGACAGGGTGCTGCAACCCATACACCCACCAACATATGGATTGTGTCATGTGGGTCATTCCTCTATTAAATTCGGACCTTACCCATCCTTTGAAAACCAAGTGATGTGCGTCAATGCAGCAGTCCACACGATGAGTCCGCATAATCAGTTGGAACACGGGACAGTGGCCTTACGCCAGGCGGTTTTTCAAATCGTATGAGGTGGGTATTGATTAGACTGGACGCTACTATGGCTCAGGCATACTCAGCCGGAAGGCATCAAAGAGCCATGGTTTCCGCTGACACTGAAAATGCCGAAGGTCCCGTTCTCTTGGGACAGAGGACCCCGCGTGTTGGGGATCTCACTAGGTCTTGCACATTGGGATCTCGAAACAACTTGATGAGACTTCCCAAACTCACCTGGTGAATAAATGAAAAGTTTGAGGTCCATTAGAGAAAGACATCCAACTGCTTTTTTCTTGGATAGGATCCCACAGCACGACCTGGAAGATGAGAAAGATCTCAACGTCAGCGCGAAAGGAGATAAAGCATGTCAACAGATTCCTGTGCAAGGCTGGGGTGATACTGTTGATGGACAAAATCCTGCACCACCTCACCACTTTACCCAGGAAGGGTCGCATAGCAACCCCCGTGCCCCCTCATTCAATGTTGGCGCGACCCCTCTGAGGAGGTGGTGCAGGATTTTGGACCTTCAACTTGTTTTTGTTTTCTCACTGTGGTGGCCCCAATGTTAGCGAGGGAGAACGAGGGCAGCAAGAAAACTGTGCGCAAAGTGGTGCAGGATTTTGTCCATCAACAGGGCGTTGCAAGACTTCAGGGCGTTAATAGCCACAGAGGATGGCCCAGCTTTGTTCAGCTTCTTTCGTCTTTCACAGGACGAGCTTGCACGCCGTGTCTCGGATGGTTCCAGATGCTCTACGCGACCTTTGGCTCCTTTGTACCACTGGGTATGCTGGTCTATGGGTTGCAAGAGAGTTTTGCGAAAAGCTCTGGTGACTTCGCTTGCAAGTACTACATGATGGATGTGCTGAAACTTGACGGTGCCACAATGGGAAGGTCGGGTGTTATAAGTGATAGTGTTGTTTGGTGTGTTTGGATTTCTCAAGTGGTGTCAACACGCCCACGATGCTCGGCAGGCTGCAGACCGCTGCAAAAGTCCCTTGGGACATCAAACCTGTGCTTGGAATGTGCTCGGATGCCTTGCCGCTCTGGGGATTTCACCGAACATCGTGCTTTCCGCAAAACATGGGGCCATGGATTTTTATGTGTTAACCCATGTTGCTCCATGTGTTTTTTGTGGTCTTTCAGATTTGGTGGCAAGGGTCCCAAGTTTGTAAGGTACCTGGTGAGCGCGTGCGTGTTCAGCAGTTTTCTTTACTTGTGGGTTGGCTTCAACGCTGTGTCTGCACTGGGCCTTTATGTATGTATGACTGGCCTCAATCTATCAATCGCTTTTGCGGAGCTCGGTCTGCAACATGTGCATGTTGTGGGGTGATGTTATGAAAGCTTGCTAAGTACACTATCTAAGTGCAACAACGTGCCATGCCGAGTGAGTTTCTATTTTTTGCAGCTGCATCTATATACATTACCAAGAGCTGCTGGAAACTCAGCTCCAAACCATCTACAGTTACAGAGTTTAAACGATTTAAAGATCTATGCAAACAGTTGCAAAATCTTGGCACTCTCCTGTCTTATTTGTTTTCTTTGGCGTCCTTCTTAAACGGGACGGCACTCGCTTTTACACGCGGAAAACGCCTCGCTTGTACATGCGCATGTTGGAAGACCAGGAAGCCTTCACAATGGCTGCACCGGCACGCACACACACCCAAGTGTGCGAGGATCATGTGCTTGCCATGAGGACAGGAGCAAACATGCAGATCTTGGAGGCTTTCACAGGACATTTCAGTCACGAAGAGGCTTGAAGACATTTCTGAGGTTTCCTTGTCTCACATCCCTTAACTTCCATTGTTCTTACTTACCACGAGCGGGCTTCCATCGCATGGAAAGCGATCGGACTTCCCGCCTGTTTCTTGGGCGCCACGGCCCAGGCCAGACTGTTTTCCCCGCTTCCTTTGGCAGACTGTCTTCCTCAGTTCTTTTGGCATCCGTGACTCCACAAGTCCCGTGACGCCACGCAGCTTGGGCGCCCTAGAGGACGGCCAAAAAGTCCAACTCGCCAAGATAGCACAGCGTTTGTGAGCCGCCCAAAGCTAAAATTTACAGGAAGCAGGAGCCATTCCAATGTATTGTACCTTTTGTGAGCTCAGAGGAGCCGTGGAAAAATGTAGCATACCTGACTTGTGGAGGAAAGGGCCGTTCCAAGATATTCTTAATGCCGTATGCCTTTTGTGAACCACCTGAAGGTAAAGTTTAGGGGAGGCGGGAGCCGTTCGAACGTAGAGGCATCATAGAATCATAGCTGTCATAGCTTTTGTGAGCTCCCCCACCGGGTCCTGCCCGCAACGAGCCGTTCCACGTGCACCGGCGTGAGGCGCTGCGTGCGCTGGTCGTTGAATGGGGGGGTCGACGGTCGACGGTCGCGTGCGCGACTGTGAGGGGGTGCCGTTTGCAACTCTGCCGCCTGACGCTTTGCTGGGTCGCCCGATGTCGCGCCGTTCCCAGGACTTGGTGATCGATGCTACCGCTGCCAGCCTCGCCAAGGATCACCCGAAGGAAGCGTCTGACACTTGGGAAGGTTTATTTGGACCAAGTTGCTTGTTTTGCTTTGGAGGTTGCTGCAAGGATCCAGGCTACAGGTGGTTTGAAACGTGTTTGCCTCTATGAACCCGAAGACATCCTCCCATGTCCTCTTAGGACATGCAGACCGCCTTCAACATTGCACAGGCTTTAGGTGGCATGGCAGCCAGCAGCATCAAGGGATATCTCGTGGCTGTCTTGGGCTCACGTGGCACCATGATGAGCAATGTGTTTTGCGCGGCCCTTCAGATGCAAGTTCAGCCTGTTGAACCCTGTTGTAAGAAGTGGTGTGTGATTGTGGTTGTGCAAGGGTTTGATCAATGCATCCAAGCCTTCAAGGAGGTCAGGTTTCCTAGGCCCTACATGCAAGCTTCCATGCCAACCTGCTGATGGTAAGGTTGCCGTGTTCATTCCGGCCATAAGACGCTGGCTGCCAGAAGAGCAGCTGCTTAGTGGCCACTGCACTCCAAAGCTGCACCTCGATCTGCAGGGGCTTTGCAATATTGGCACTGTGAGTGGCGTTTTAAAATGTGCGAAGTCCTTGTTGGCCGAACTACTTCCGATCGCTCACTTAGCTGTGGCGGTCAGTTTGTCAGAGTCCATCAAAGGAGCCAATTCCGGAGAAACTCCAGTATCACTGCAGCAACCAGGCAGCAGAAGGTCGTTTCTGGTGGATTGTGGTCTATGCGTGTCGAAGGCGTCCTTGGCAAACCTGAGGTGGCGATTTTCCTGTCGGTGGTTGCTGTAGGGCTATCTTTGTCACAAATCTTCCTGCAGGAGTGGCGAACCCGAGCAACTTGGGAAAAAGCAGCGGAAGCTCTCTCTCTCTCTCTTCCAATTCTACATTGGATCACGCAATCAAGCCTAAAACGTCCCAAGACATTGGAAAGGTAACATGCTTTGGTAGGCTGTGCACGGTGGCGCTATTAATTGACATCTATTGACCCACACTGGCTTGTGTCAACTCACATGTTTGCACACATGGGTCATGCTTGCTCGTTCTTCCAAGACACCGATCCGCAATTCACCACCCACCGTTTGTTGATTAAGGCTTTGGTGACGCTATTTTGCTGCATAGTGGTCACCATCAGCGCTTACAAGGCAGGCTCCCGGGATCGTCAGACCATGTCAGACCGCAGTCGCGTGAGAAACTCCAACTGTCAGAGGCGATGAGGAAGATCTCTCCTTTCTTGGCCAATACTGGGATGCTCCTCTTCTGGCGAGCGGTTTTGCAGCCAGGTGCCGGCCGCCCTATCTTTTGGTACACGGTTTTGGGATCTTCACATGGCAAATCCATCACTCCGACGCCAGGTTTGGGGGAGGCGATGTTTGTTTGGATGTCGAAAGATGAAGAAGGCCCTCGCTTTTCTCCACAGCTCATGGGCTTAGCGGATTGCTTTGGGCAAGCTGGCTTCTTGTTGGGCGTGGTGGTCTACAATCGATTCTTGAGGACTTGGAAGTATCGCGCCTCAGCCGAACAAAAGGGAACCGAATACACTGGAAAGCCCTTGAAAATCAGCAGAATCAGTGTTTCGGAAATGAGTCGCATGAAGTAAGAGCAACTAGACATCTCCAGGGGCATCCCAAGCTTCCCTGGTTTCAGTCATTCTAAGTTTCCCCCCCGCCTGGCTCAGCTTTTCATGTTCAGCTAGCAGGTCGAATCTTCCTGGTGGGGCAGATCATGGTGGTCGCAAGCCAGGTGCTCGACTTCATCTTAGTCATGCGCTGGAATCAGGCGCTGGGGATTCCTGACGTTTTGTGTCTTGGAGCGCAAGGAGTCGCCCTAGTTTTTTTCTGATGATGTTACATAAGTATCACGATCAACCGCTTCATCACCTCATCAGTTCCACCTCGTCATCACCATCATCATTTCTCAATCAATATATATATATATATATCAATATATATATATATATTTCACAATCAACGCCATTGCCGCCGCCACCACCACCACCACCAGCATCATCATCATCATCATCATCATCATCATCATCATCATCATCATCA